GGGAGAGAGGGGGGAAGACGGTGGGAGGGGGAGAAGGGTCAGGGGGAAAGAAGGAGAGAGAAAAAGGGCGGGAGGGAGAGGAGGGGGAAGACGGTGGGAGGGAGAGGAGGGGGAAGACGGTAGGAAGGAGAGAGGGGGGAAGACGGTAGGAGGGGGAGAGGGGAGAAGACGGTGGGAGGGAGAGGAGGGGGAAGACGGTAGGAGGGGGAGAGGGGAGAAGACGGTGGGAGAGGGGAGAAGACGGTGGGAGAGAGAGGAGGGGGAAGACGGTAGGAGGGGGAGAGGGGAGAAGACGGTGGGAGGGAGAGGAGGGGAAGATGGTAGGAGGGGGAGAGGGGAGAAGACGGCGGGAGAGAGAGGAGGGGGAAGACGGTAGGAGGGGGAGAGGGGAGAAGACGGGGGAGAGAGAGGAGGAGGAAGACGGTGGGAGGGAGAGAAGAGTCAGGGGGAAAGAAGGAGAGAGAAAAAGGGTGGGAGGGAGAGGAGGGGGAAGACGGTAGGAAGGAAAGAGGGGAGAAGGCGGTGGGAGGGAGAGGAGGGGGAAGACGGTAGGAGGGGGAGAAGGGTCAGGGGGAAAGATGGAGAGAGTTAAAGGGTGGGAGGGAGGGTCGGGGTGGGGAAGGGAGCGACTCGCTACCGCGATGAATTCAATTGCTTTTGCAGCGTCGCCTACAAGGTGTAATTAACAGTACTACGAAAACCAGCTTGTCCGTGACTTCGAGACTGCGAGAAGAGACGAGAGAAAAACAAGATTCGCCCGTTGTTGTTACCGTTGTTGTTGTTGTTGTTATTGTTGTTGTTGTTTTCGTCACCGTTTTAGAAACGCACAGAGCTTGCGATAACAATATGGAAATGACGACGGAATCGGCTGGTTATGCAATGCTGATTGTGGTTCGCGATAATCTGCAACCCGTAGCCCTTCCCCTGGCATCCCTAACCCCCCCCCCTCCCCTCCTGTGTGGTGCGAGGGCCCTCCCGTTCATACTAATGGAGATTAGATTTGGATGTGATGACTGAGTGATGTGGTGATGGGAGATGCAGGTCCACAGTTTTTTTTTTTCTTTTTCTTTTCTTTTTTTTAGGCACTGTAATGAGATTCCGTGTTGGATGGTTGATTTTGATGACGTTTTGGATGTCAATTTTGGCTCTTTTTTCACTAGTAAGGAGTTGATCGTAATTTGTGCAACGTTTTGGTGGGATAAGTGATTATAGTTTTTCTTTTAGAGGTACACGTAGTGGTGATGGGGGATGTGATGACTAACTTTTTGAGTGCATGAATTCTCTTATTCTAATATCAGACTTGTTAGTTACTATCCAGTTGCAATTAATCTTAAAGGTAAAGGGCTAACCAAATTCAAGCATTAGTGTAAAATTGATAAAAATATAAAATAACATATTTTCTCCTTCTCTCTGGAACTGACCAGAAATACTAATCCTCAGATATAACACTTTCTTTGCTTTAATGCCACCCTGAGACTAATAACTTCTTGGGCACAGCATCTTGACCCTGTTTGAGCAAGGCAGCAGAGCCGTTGCCCTTCAGAGTAGCACAGTGTCTTTCTCCTCTAACGCCAGCTTCTGTTATTGCAGAGTTCCCCGCCACCTGATTTCCCCTGCGAGTTTTGATTGATGAAGATTCGGAGGATCGCATCGCTCTTTTCTGGCACCCGTTCGAGAGGGAGAAAGGAGATAGAGAGAAAGGGAGAAGGGGAGAAAGGAAGAGGGAGAGAGGAGAGGTGCCAAGGCTTCTACACGACTAACGCCTTTCTACTGACACTGTGCTTCTTTCTCCCGATGCCTTCGAGAAGTGGCACTTACTAACTCCAAGAGCGACTAACTTCTTCTTCTTCCTCTTCCGCTTCCGGTGCTCGTTGCCAGATGGCGCCACCTGCGGCTGGAAGAGGTGGCACTGGCTGTCTGTTGTAACCTCTGTGGAAAAAAGTTCTAGGACTAACACCAACTAACAAAGATCTAACAAAGATGTGTCCTTTTTTTTCTTTTTTTTTAGAAAATGTTAAGAGACTTTCAAAAGTGAAATAGGGATAACGGAAAAAGGCAGTTTAATAGCTATATATACACAGGGTATTTGTAAGCACAATTAAAACGAGGCAAATTCTTGTTCGTTTTGTGAGTTTAATTCGTTTGTTAAGCGTATGAGAATATATTTTACTTACGTAATTTTCTCTATATCTAAATTTCAGTGTAACTGTCACTTGCTTTGAAAAAGAAAATGACAGGAATATGATAAATTCATAGAATGCTTTTAGGATATGAAGGTACTAATCGACTGAAAATACTGAATACATTCCATCTCTAGTTTTGATTGTCAAAATGATTAGAAAATGGCAGCTGGAGACCCCCACGTCTGGTGAACAGTAATCGAGGTGCGAGCGAGCGAAATAACTGCGGTGTCCATCAAAGCAAACAAGGCTTTCGGGTCGCCCGCCCTCTGCGAAGGCGCGCCCACAGGGAGGACCCGGCTGGCCTCGCGGAGGAGCGC